GGCCATGTGGGAATTCCAACACCTCAACCACCACACCACCTACTGGCCCCTTTAGGTAGTATCTTTATTCCTTCCCAAGGACCAAGCCCACACCTGTTCCCCAGATTATCAAGGAAACAGAGTATGCCCTTCTTTGGAAGGATAGGTGGGGGGAGGTGAGGGGAAGAAGTTGGTGATAGGTCTGTTCTAGAAGAGGCACACACACACATGCTCGCATACACACCTGGCATGATTGCGAAGCCACTGGGTGGAGGACTTGAACTATGAAGGTGGCCACATGGGATCCAGCTGCCCTAACCACCATGCCACTGACTAGCCCAAGAATGGTTCAAGATTTTTAAAGATTGGGGCCAGCATTTGGCATAATGGTTAAGATGCTGGACTTCTATATGGCAGTATGCAGTTCGAGTTCTGGACCTGGTGGCTTGACAGTCACTCTGGGTGCGTGTGTGTGTGAGCTCAAAATCCTGAGAGGAGGATGGAGGACAAGGGATTGCGGCATGGCCATCCTCTGGGGAGGTGGGAATTTCTCACTTTCCCAGTCTTTGTTTCTGCCTCTCAACAGTGAGTACATGCAACTTATGGCAAAAACGTTTTCTAAAAAAATGGTTTTAAAAACACTGATAATGGTACCAGTGGGTGGTGTGGTGGTTAAGGTGTTGGACGCTCACACATGACTGACCATGGTTCGAGTCCTCGACCTGGAGCTGGTATCTGAGTTTTTCACCTTCTCTCTCTCTCTCTCTCTGGTCAAATTAAGAATTAAATGAATGAGGACCAGCAGGTGGTGTAGTGGTTAAGGCACTGGACACTCGCATTTGGCCGGCCGCGTTTCGAGTCCCAGACCTGGTGGCTTGCTTCCTCTCTCTCTCTCTCTCTCTCTCTCTCTCTGTCTGTCTCTTCAGGTCAAATGGAAACAAATGATGAATGAATAAAGTTAAATAAAATAATTTTCACAAAAAACAATGAATGAATAAATAAAGTTAGATAAATAATTCCAAAAAAAGAAAGACCAATAAGGTCAAGTGTGGGCAAGGACAGATCTCTCTCCGATGCTGCTGTGAGTAATAGATGTGCTACAGAGGAGAAAACTCTTTGGCATTCTCTATCAAAATTCACCATTTTACCCTGTGACCCTGCAGTGCCTCTCCTAAATATAAACCCAACAGAAAAGCATACACACGTTCCCCAGAAGATGCAAGCCAAGGATCTCCACAGTTCCATTATGCGTGATAGCCGAAGGTTGGAAATGGCCCAAGGGCCCATTCCCAGGAACACAGACAAACGTGATCCTGCTCACACAAAGACAATGGTCCAGCCACTCCTGCACTTACCCTCACCATGACGCTCAAAACCCAGCATTCAGTGCAAGAAGCCAGACCCCAAAGAATCACACTGTAAGATCCCACTTATATAATGGGAGGTTAAAGACGGTTATTAACGGGGACCAGCAGTTGGCATAATGGCTATGTCACTGGACTCCCATATAGTCAACTGTGGTTCGAGTCCCGAACCCAGTGGCTTAAACTCACGCCAGAAACGTGTGCATGTGTGCCCAAGATCCCGAGAGGAGAATGGAGAAAAAGGGATTGCAGCATGGCCATCCCCCCGGGGGGTGATTTCTCGCTTTCTGTCTTTCTGTCTCT